TCATCATTATTATTTTCTCTTTCTCTCTCTTTTCTTCTTCCTCTTCTTTTCTCTCTCTGTCTCTTTCTCTCCTCTCTCTCTCCCTCCTCCTCCTTTTTCTTCTTCTCCTTTTTCTTCTTTGTCTTCTTCCCTCTCCTCCTCTTCCTTTCTCTCTCTCTTCTCTTTCTCTCTTCCTCCTCCTCCTCCTCCTCCTCCTCCTCCTCTTCCTCCTCCTCTTCTTCTTCTTCTCCTTCTCCTTCTTCTCCTTTTTCTTAATCTTCCTCTCCCTCCCTCCCTCTCCCTCCCCCCCCCTCTCTCTCTTTCCACCATTTTATAGTTTCTAACCCTGTGGGAAAAGGTTAGGGAAGACTCACCACTTCGATGGGGCAGTGGAGAGGTTTCCTTCTCAGGACCGTGAGCGACTCCAGGAAAACAAACATGGTTTCTCTTGAGTGTGGCCAACAGCTGATGAGAAGATGCACCGTCACGCCTTTATCACAGGCGGCGCTCCGTAAGGCGTCATCAATGACGGGCCACAACCTTGAAAAGCAACATGGATACAGAATGTTAGGGAGGTGACCTCAATGGAGGAATTGACAGGAATTGGGGGAGGGAGGGAGGGAGGGAGGGAGGGAGGGAGGGAGGGAGGGAGGAAGGAAGGAAGGAAGGAAGGAAGGAAGGAAGGAAGGAAGGAAGGAAGGAAGAAAAGAAAAAGAAAGAGGGTAGAAGGAGGGGAAGTAGGTAGGGAGTTTGGGAGGAAGGGAAGAAAGGAAGGAAAAAGAGAGAAAGAGAAAAAAAGAAAGATGGTAGGAGGGAGGAAGGAAAAGATAAAAAGAAAGAGAAAGAAAGAGAGAGTGGGCAGGGATGAAGGGAAGGAAGAAAATTAAATCACCTTTTCGATTTACAGAATAAACACTGCGGCTCATAATCCATCACGGAAATATAGATAAATTCTTGAGCGTCTTCAATCGTGCTCAGAATGGCGGTGAGGTCAGGCGTACGGCCAGTTGAGCATAGAGCCGGCGGGGAGCTCTGCCATCACAAATAAACAGAAATTATAAAGTGTAAAAAAAACAAAAAACAAAGCCAGGATTTCTACCTGCTCCTTCTTCCAAGACCACCTGGCCCCAAACAGGCGACCTTGGAAGGAGAAAGCCAGACAGCTCACCTTGGCAGTGTGAAACTCGGTGCTAGTTGAAATCGACCACATTTCATTAAAACATTGGAAGGAGAGCGGTGGCTTTAGACCGTTTAAATGTATTTTATGTAAAATTTTAGGCTTCCGCATGAGCCTTTTTATAAAGGTGAGGTTAGCATTTTAGATAAAAAGGATGAGCCTTTTTATAAAGGTGAGGTTAGCCTTTGGGAGTTCAAGAAACCATGAGTTGTTGTTGTTTTTTTTTTGAGCTAAAGCCATTTCTTTCTCCAAAAACTAGCCTTTTCATCAACTAAACAATAGGGTGTGCGTTTACCTCACACGCGCCCTATTGTTTAGTTGATGAAAAGGCTAGTTCTCCAACTTATGACTAGTTGCCTAAAGATTGGAGCTCTTCAGAACTACTTACGACCTGCTTTCAAAGTTACAGCACGCTCCCTATGCAAACTTTTCTTGGTAGGCAGAAACTCCAACTTCAGTCTCCAACATTCTACATTGCTTGAAAGCTACCGGGGCCGTGAGGACTAGAAACTTAAGACTATAGTGAGAACAATTAACCAGGGGAACAGCTTGCCTTTAGACGTTGAGGGTGAAGAGATTGGACAGCCATTTTTCCAAAATGGTAAAGGGTGCTCCATCACCGGAGATTTTTAAGAAAAGACTGGATAGCCAGTTGAGCAGGGGGTTGGACTAGCAGACCTCCAAGCTCCCTTCCAACTCTGTTATCCTTCCTTTCTCCTTTTCTTTCCTCTTTCCTTCTTTCCTTTCCTTTCTCCTTTCCTTCTTTCCTTTCTTTTCCCTTCCTTCCCTTTCCTGTCCTTTCTCCTTTCTTTCTTTCTTTCTTTCTTTCTTTCTTTCTTTCTTTCTTTCTTTCTTTCTTTCTTTCTTTCTTTCTTTCTTTCTTTCTTTCTTCCTTTCCTTTCCTTTCCTTTCCTTTCCTTTCCTTCTTTCCTTTCCTTTCTCCTTTCCTTCTTTTCTTTTCTTGCCTTTCCTTTCTCCTTTCCTTCTTTCCTTTCCTTTCCCTTCCCTTCCTTTCCTTTCCTTTCTCCTTTCTTTCTTTCCTTTCCTTCTTTCCTTTCCTTTCTCCTTTCCTTCTTTCTTTTCCTTTCCTTTCCTTTCCCTCCATCCCCTTCCTTCCTTTCTTCCTTCCTTCCTTCCCCATCCCTGGAGGTTTTTCAAGAAGAGATTGAACAACCATTTGTCTGAAATGCTTGAGTGTGGGGGGGGTTGGACTAGATGACCTCCAAGTTCCTTTCTGATTGGTTTGATTGGCTTGATTTTTTTAGGGGCATGGAACCGCCAACTTCCTATACTTCTACCTTCCCAATCTGATCTCCCATCCCCCCCAAAATCCCCCTGCAGTCCAGATGTGTAGTTTTCAACTCCATAACGGACATAATGGCTGGGGAGATCCAGCAACGAAGGCCGCACATCTTTAGGATTTTAAGCCGTTGTTGCTGGGTTTTTTTCCACACACACACACACACACACACACACACACACAAAACACTTACAGAAATGTAGACCTGGGCCTCTAGCCCATTTAGCTGAACCTTCCGAGGTTCCTCCAGGCTGGATTCAGCCGCCAGATCCCTGGGCCAGGTGGTGGGCAAGGAAGCTCCCTCTTCGCCCAACATCCGGTACATGGCAAAGATCCGGTGAAGATCCTTCGCCAAACAGCTGCAATTGTAGAGCGCAATTCCCAGCTCCTTCACCTACGGAGAAAAACGATCCATGGGGAACTTGCCGGAAGATTCCTCCAGATTTGCTTCTTACGGGGCCGCGATCTCCGAAAGAATCCCGGCGGCAAGAGTGGATTCCGCGCAGATCCAGGCAACGGCACGGTTCCCTGTTGTCGGGGAAGGAACCGATTTCCCCGCCGACGCATCCTCCGAGCACGACTTTGACCTACCACCACCAATGAGTGTGATGTTTTTGTGGCTAAGCGAGACCGTTGTTGAGTGAGTTCTGCCCGGTTTTCCAATGGTTCCTGCCCTAGTTGTTAAGGGAATCTGTGCCGTTGTTGTATTCCAGGTGTGTTCTCACAAAAACAGTGTAACACGGCGCTAACCCTTCTCACAATCTTGATTCTAATCCCTCTGTTGATGCAGCCTGGGATTGTATTGGCTTTTTTGGCAGCTACAGCACACGGCTGGCTCACGCTGAGCATGAATACAGGGAGTCCTCGGACTTACAACAGTTCATTTAGTGACCGTTCCAAGTTACGACGGCACTGAAACGAGTGACTTAGGACTGTTGTTCACAGCTATGGCCTTTGTAGCATATCCGTGGTCACGCGATCAACATTTGGACGTTCGGCCTCTGACGGTTCATATTTATGACGGTTGCAATCCCCATTTGCGACCTTCTAACAAGCGAAGTTAAGATTTGCTTAACAACCAGGTTAGGAACTTATCAACTGCAGTGATTCACTTAACAACTGAGGCAAAGGAAGTCGTAAAATGGGGCAAAACTCACTGAACAAACCTCTCACTTAGCAGCACAAATTTTGGGCTGAATGGTGGTCGTAAGTCGAGGATTAACTCCACATTTTGAGCCACTTGCCTTTTATCCCCACAGGTAGGGTGGGGCTTCTCTAGCAGCGGTGGCTCTTCCGGCCCAAGGACCAGCCCATAGATTTCCACTGCTCTCTTCTCCTCTGCCTTCTGTGCATCCATGCATCAGGCAATGGGCGCAGCTGTTCCTCCTCTTCCTCATCAGCCACCTCCAGACCTGGGGGTGTTGACTCTCCATCTGAGGGCTGACGGACAGCCCAGGCTCCGCCTCCATCTCTCTCTCTCTCACCGCAAGTTAACAAGTCCGTTCACAGGGAGTTGTGTCTGGCACACCTATTCATCTCCGCCCCCTGCCTTTTGTCCCCAGAGCTAGAATTGGGCTTTACGAGCAGCGGTGACTCTTCCATCCCAAGGACCAGCCCATAGATTTCCACTGCTCTCCTCTCCTCTCTCTTTCTGTGCTTCAGGCACTGGACTCAGTTGTTCCTCCTCTTCCTCATCAGCCACCTCCAGACCTGGGGGCTGTTGACTTTCCATCTGAGGGCTGATGGACGGCTCAGGCTCCGCCTCCATCTCTCTCTCTCTCTCTCTCTCTCTCTCTCTCTCTCTCTCTCTCTCTCTCTCTCTCTCTCACCGCAAGTTAACAAGTCCGTTAACTTATTCATCTCTGCCCCCTGCCTTTTATCCCCAGAGCTAGAGTTGATCTTTGCTAGCAGCGGTGGCTCTTCCGTCCCAAGGACCGGCCCATAGATTTCCACTGCTCTCCTCTCCTCTGCCTTCTGCGCATTCACACATCAGGCACTGGACCTGGCTGTTTCTCCTCTTCCTCATCAGCCACCTCCAGACCTGGCTCTTCCATCCCAAGGGCCGGCTCATAGATTTCCACTGCTCTCCTCTCCTCTGCCTTCTGCACATCCATGCATCTGGCACTGGACCCAGCTGTTCCTCCTCTTCCTCATCAGCCACCTCCAGA